TCCTGTAATACCTGGTGGGCTGGTCTCTAGTCAAAATGCCCGGGCCGATTTTTTGTCCCAGTCCAGCCCTGCCTGCAGCTCTAAGAGCGAGATACGAGTAAGAGCTCACAGACCAGCTAAAGCACATCATTTCCTGCCCCAAGGCCAGTTGGACAACCACCACACCAACGAGGCACCCGGGAGGAACCCTGGTCAGACACCCAAAACCACCTCCACTGACTGAAGTCCCAGAAATCCAAGCTACACCCTTCAGAGGAAGCTTGTATGTCACTGCTCTCAGCTTGTTGGTATAGGTGCAGAGTGCGCAGGCATCACCCCAACACTCGCCCGGGAAACCGCGAGACACTTAACCATTGCCAGAGTGGGCGCTCCACCTCTTCATGCTGACCACCGTGGCCTCAGACTTGGATGAAAACCATGAGAAATTTGGAGCTCCATGTTCGATAAAGCAAACAGGAGCACGTCACAACTCAAGCTATGCAGATGAATAAAAGCACTACAGGCCAGAGGGAAATATGTGCTGGCATACGGGCCCAGCTGGGCTTTGACCCCATGTGATCTTTGATGCAGAGGGAGAGCCAGTCTGTAGCGTGGAGGTTATGTAACTCTCAGGGCAGTGAAACAGACACCAGCAATAATTAGACACTCATAACTGGAAGCAACCACTCCCAGTACAGTTGGCACACTGGCAGCCAATAACCTGTAACCCTGCAGCGCTGAAATAAACATCGCACGGTAAACTGATCTTTGGTGGCACTAACAGATCAGAGTGAACACTGAGTTTTGTCACAACACTCAGTGCAACACGAACCAGGAAAGAAACACTGCAAGATTTCACCGAGGAGCATGCAAAACACCACGGGGGCCCAAAACTCCCCCTCATGTAAAGATACTCATGCAGGCAAAAAAGAAATATATTTATCTGCTATAATGAGAACAAATTGTCTGAAACTGAGGGTTTACTGAGCTCTGAGTGCCTGAGATCACACACACACACACACACACACACACACACACACACACAC